TTTTTCCTTTTTTTTTTTTTTTTTTTTTTTTTGCGGTACGCGGGCTTCTCACTGTTGTGGCCTCTCCCGTTGCGGAGAACAGGCTTCGGACGCGCAGGCTCAGCGGCCATGGCTCACGGGCCCAGCCGCTCCGCGGCACGTGGGATCCTCCCGGACCGGGGCACGAACCCGTGTCCCCTGCATCGGCAGGCGGACTCTCAACCACTGCGCCACCAGGGAATCCCCCCAGTGTAGAGTCCTTTTAACGTCTAACTGTATTGTGGACAGAACAAGTCAGACTTGTGCTTATATCCTAGAACCTTTAATTTGTTTAAAACTTATTGTCTGCACTTTTATAGCCAATAAATAAAATGTGTAACTCAGAAGTTGGCCTTTATTAAAGAAACTGCAGACCAGCCACATTGGACCAAAGCCCTGTTGAAAGAAGCAGCCTCCCGAGGATGGCGAGGTGTCTTGACAGCTGCACAACCAAGGGCGGGTGGCTAATGCAGGTTCCTGCTACCCTCACAAGCTTCAGGAACATTTACTTACCCTTTGTCTGGTGGCTTGTATAAAGACCTGCTCAATCCTCCAAAATGACGGGGTGATTTGGAACCTTGAACAACAGGCCTAGGTGGGCTGTGAATTCCGATTTGGGTTTTCCCACTACACAGATATTCCAAGAAGCTCCAATCCAGTGGATTCTGGACACTTCATCTTTTTATCATCTTTCCAACCCTCTCTCTCAAGACCAGTGTTATTAAAAAGATTTTTTTTCTTAGGTAACCACCAATCACATTCTCCCACTCTCAGTCAGGTTTGCAGTCAAACTATTTCTTACCTGATTCAATTCCAAGCACAGTGTGTGTGCTCTGTCACTGTTACGTCTCTATTCTGGGACCATTCATAAGATGTACCTTACACTTTCTTCCTAATAGAGGTGATGGGGAAAAAAACAAACAGGGCATGAAAACTTGAGGTTTTCATGAAACAATAGGGAGGGTAACAGGTTTTTAAGTGATGTGCCATTAATCATAATCTTTTTTTTTTTAGGTTGCATCTGATGCCAGAAGGCAAGCACAACCTGCATTTACGTTTTGCAGATGAATTCAACAAGTTAGCGGAAGACTTCCTACAGTGACAGTGTCCCCGAGGACATGTGACCTGTGAATCCTGAGCCTGGGGCTTGAGCCTGGTGCTGCCTTTGAAACCCGCCTGCGGGTCACCCCCCAGTTCACCTGCCTTTCCAGGCTCCCCGCGCCTCCCCACAAACTGCTCCTAATCCAACAGCAATGATGACATACTATAAGCATCCTCTAGCTTTCATAGCTACAAAAATTAAACCTGATTTTTCAGTGTTGTTAATTTCTATCATTATCTTAAAAAATAAATTGCTATCATGATTTACTTTACTTTCAGGTTAACGTTCAGCGAAGCATTTGTGGTGTTCACGACCGCTCCTCTAAGATGAGTTGAATTTACGCGGTGCCTTTTATCTGAGAGGTGCGAGCGTGCACTGGTCTTTGTATTCATCACATTGTTCAGAGAAGTGGCTAAGCTGAAGACAGTCCTCGCCCGGGGCCCTGGATTCCACACGTTCATGGGGTTGCTGGAACCACAGCAAACCAGGGAGGAAGGTCGGCTTTGTCCCCAGATCTCTATCCACCTCCACACACCTGGGTTCCTTTCCTTGAATACTTTGGGCCAGTGAAGCTAAAAATATGCCTTCTAATCTCTCTCTACTAAAAGAGTGGAAAGGCTATTAATTAAAAACATGAAAGTAGAAATCCTGTTTTCTTAAAATTACTAACCCTGGAAACAGGAAACATTTAGTGAAAGAATAAAAATTGATTGCAATAAAAATTAAGAGACCACGGGATTTGGACACATGCTTTTTTATTAGTATAGATATCTTAGACAACACTGCAGTTTCCAGAGGAGTCCCGCGTTATTACATCAACTGTGAATTTCTGACAGAGGCAAAACTGAGCACCATAGTATACAAATAGAAAGACCATGCTTGACTGAGGACAACAGAAGTTCACTAAGGATGCACGACCTATTTCGGAAGTTCTCAGGCCTCCCCCTCGCGCTCCTCCCGGCCTCCAGCCACGGGGCCCCCGGCCACGTCCAGCCGCGCGCGGGGCTCAGGCCTCGTCCTCGCCCTCCTCCTCCTCAAACTCCCCCTGCTCGTCGGCCGTGGCGTCCTGGTACTGCTGGTACTCGGACACCAGGTCGTTCATGTTGCTCTCGGCCTCGGTGAACTCCATCTCATCCATGCCCTCGCCCGTGTACCAGTGCAGGAAGGCCTTGCGGCGGAACATGGCCGTGAACTGCTCCGAGATGCGCTTGAACAGCTCCTGGATGGCCGTGCTGTTGCCGATGAAGGTGGCCGACATCTTGAGCCCGCGGGGCGGGATGTCGCACACGGCCGTCTTCACGTTGTTGGGGATCCACTCGACAAAGTAGCTGCTGTTCTTGTTCTGCACGTTGAGCATCTGCTCGTCCACCTCCTTCATGGACATGCGGCCCCGGAAGATGGCGGCCACGGTCAGGTAGCGGCCGTGGCGCGGGTCGCAGGCGGCCATCATGTTCTTGGAGTCGAACATCTGCTGCGTGAGCTCGGGCACCGTCAGCGCGCGGTACTGCTGGCTGCCCCGGCTGGTCAGCGGCGCGAAGCCGGGCATGAAGAAATGCAGGCGCGGGAAGGGCACCATGTTCACGGCCAGCTTGCGCAGGTCGGCGTTGAGCTGGCCCGGGAAGCGCAGGCACGTGGTGACCCCGCTCATGGTGGCCGACACCAGGTGGTTGAGGTCCCCGTAGGTGGGCGTGGTCAGCTTCAGGGTGCGGAAGCAGATGTCGTACAGCGCCTCGTTGTCGATGGAGTAGGTCTCGTCCGTGTTCTCCACCAGCTGGTGCACGGACAGCGTGGCGTTGTAGGGCTCCACCACCGTGTCCGACACCTTGGGCGACGGCATCACGCTGAAGGTGTTCATGATGCGGTCGGGGTACTCCTCGCGGATCTTGCTGATGAGGAGGGTGCCCATCCCGGACCCGGTGCCGCCCCCCAGCGAGTGGGTCAGCTGGAAGCCCTGCAGACAGTCACAGCTTTCTGACTCCTTCCGGACCACGTCCAGGACCGAGTCCACCAGCTCCGCGCCCTCCGTGTAGTGGCCCTTGGCCCAGTTGTTGCCGGCACCGCTCTGGCCTGCCGGAGGGAAAGGAGAATATCAGACATTAGCAAGGAATTCCAGATTCTGTCATTTTGACTCTGCACTAGATTTAGAGATGACAAGATTCTTCTCTTTTAGAAACCCTTTCTACCTACAAACAATTTTTCTATATACCAGTGACCCTCAAAAACACTGGAGATCTAATAAAGCAAAAAGGTTAGTTCATATGAGGCAGTTAGTTAAGAAGATGGTTTACCAAAACCCAACTGGTTTAAAAGTAAGAACAAAGAACCTTATGTAAATACTTAAATCAGCTACAAGGAACAGGCAGGGTGGAGGCACACGTGATCAGAAGAGGCCACTCCAAGCAGCTGTCTCAGCTGCTCCTAACCTGTGCCTTTGGCCTTCACTCCAGGAAATGCTTGCCTGTTGTCACTGGTCCTCTGAGATGACCAGTCACCTGGGAGCTGCTGTTGGAAGCTTCCCTTTGCTCTTTATTGTCTGCCCTCCCCAGGCTGCTCTGCCGTGGGACGGACCCTCTGCAGGCGGACCCCATCCTTTGAGCTGTGCGGAGAGGGGCCAGAGGAGTGACAGTCCGTGGACCGGGGGCAGTTAGGCCAGGACTCAGGGCCTCTGTGGACACGCAGCCTCCAGCGGGGCACTCAGCAGTGAGCTGTGACCTCCACGGGGCTTAGGAGGAAGTGGGCCTCCCAAGCCAGTGCCCGGGGACCACGCTACATACCGAACACGAAGTTATCGGGCCGGAAGATCTGGCCGAAGGGTCCAGACCTGACCGAGTCCATGGTGCCCGGCTCCAGATCCACCAGGATGGCCCGAGGCACGTATTTGTTACCTGTGGGGACAGAGCAGGACTCAGACCTGCGGTAGGCAAAGGAATCACAGACAGTGCCCTGCTCTCTGGGCTTTTTAGGGCAGAATTCAGCAGGGGAAATTCCAGCATGAGACAGAAGTAGGAGATGAGAGGCGGTTTCTGCTCTACAAAGGGAGATGATGGCCTGCCTCAACATGACAAACATGCAGGAGACTTCAGGAGCTCTGAAGTGTGTTTTTGAGCAGTTAAAAATGCATGCAGGAAGCCTTTCTTCGTCATCTGCATGTTCCTAATACATTGTGTCTGCCGCAGAACAGAAAGCAAGGTGAGGGGGCAGGAAAGCTTCCACTAATCACCGGCAGCTTCATTGTAGTACACGTTGATTCTCTCCAGCTGCAGGTCACTGTCTCCATGGTAACTGCCCGTGGGGTCTATCCCATGCTCATCGCTGATGACCTCCCAAAACTGGAAATAAAGAAAACCGCGTGACGGCCTGGCACCCAGAGTATCAGTAAAGACGGCCCTCCTTCTCCCTCTCCTGTCCTTGGAACAGCGGCATTGTGGTCAGACAGTCGAGGAGACCCAGACAGACCAATAGCTGCCCGCCCTGATCCTCCAGCAGCTGCTGCTGAGGGGCTCAGGAATCCGCCGCGCATCAGCCGTATTATGGCGACAGGCTGAAAAGCTGGGAGGAGCCCTGACGGAGAGTGGGCCCAGCCGCGGGGGCCGTCACCCCCAGGCAGGGCTGAGTGTCAGCACCCCAGCTGGTGGACGGGTCCTGGCAGGATCCAGGACAGGTGGACCCCGCCCTGCGGCTGCCTGCAGGGATCACTGTTTCCTGGCACAGACCCTACCCAGCTCTCCAAGCGGCGCAGTGTTAGGCGCTGACATCTTACTGCCCTCCGGCCACTGACTGCAGCAGCGGAATGGTGGGGTAGCGCGGGCAGGAGCCCAGGAGCACGCGGGGGGCAATGGCTGGAGCTGGCCACGGTGCGGGCGCAGGCTGCATTGGGGGGGGGGCGCAATATGGCGGTTCTGAAAGAGACCACGTCCTCGTGCAGGCGCCCGCCCACACCCATGCACCATGCCCGTGGCGCCTCGCCCACTGCGGGCGACAGTCACAGCCCAGGACGGCCACCTGCCGCCGCGCAGGCGGGAATCAGACTCCGACGTTATACGTCATTCTGTCTAGCTGGTGCTCGCATTAAGGGATCTAACATCCCTGTCTTTCGGACCCACGAGAAGTCTCCATAACATCTGTCACCCAATGACACTGCATTTTTTCATTCAAACTACAGACAAAATATACAAATTAAATTCCGTATGAGGCCACTGGATTATCATGACCAAAGGCCCTATCCAAATCTCAGAGGCTAGTCTACCAGGGAAATACCAACCGCGTCCCTCAGAAGGGCCGGGTCCGAGGAAATTTCAAAGGGGCCTTGATTAAACACACACAGCTGCGTCGCGGCGCGCACCGCGGCAGGTTCTGTGGTTCCTGGGCCCCGCCCCGCGCCCGCGCCGAGAACGCGCCACCCGGGGCGGCGGCCCCCTCCTGGGCCCTGGCGCGCACCCTGGGGACCCGACACCCCTCCCCGGCCCCTCGCGCGCACCCGGGGACCCGCCATCCTTCCCCGACCCCTCCTCGGTCTTCACCCTGGGGACCCGTCGCCCCCTCCCGGGCCCCTC